ATATCCGATATACTATTTGGCCCATCTCTATCAGCCTCTACTTTTGTTTAATTTACAGCCTGAAATCTTGCCCAATTTGCGGTCTAGAATTTGATGAGGATTTAGTTGAAATACATGCTGCATCTTGCGGCGAAGATGACAAGAAAACAGACGAAGGAAGGACACAGTAAACAATTTTTTTATTCCTATAATATAATATCTTTTATACTTTGTGTGTTTATAGAAACATGTTTGCATTTTCACTTTCGAAAAACTATTCATGCGGATCACATATTTAATGGTATCTCTAAATATATTATATTATACCTTCATTTTTATGTCATATTTTTTATACACCAAAGGTTAATATGGTAGTATAATGTCGTTGTCTCTTCCATCCGTCGGCCCATCCACAATTTCATACTTTTAAATCAATTTCGTTCAAATTTGGTATTGAGGTTCATATTCGTAAGATCTTGGTTAAATTGTAACTTGAAGGTCAAGTGCGAATTTGGGTGCGCTGCGATAAAAATCATTACAGTTATTGCCCTTATTTCGCCTGAAAATTGTATTTTAGATTTTGTGTGCTCTTTGGAGCCAGAGTTTTTGGCCGATCTGAATGAAACTAGGACGATTTGAATTTTATGATGATTCGATAAACGTAGTCAGTTACTCGACTGTGTACAACCCGTCTATAGTTAGCCTAGTTAGTGCAGAAAAATGGGACGTTAAACTCCATTTCATTTCATTCATTTGGACTGTGTAGATATAAATTTATTGTCAAAGCTACCGTGGGCGTATATCGCATGGCAATCGCTTGTTTTTAATACTTACGATATAATTTAATTTCTCTTGGAATTGTTTATCTGTTTTCAAAGAAGCTTAGCAAAATGTGCAGTTATCAACATTTTCCATCACAATTTAGATCTTGATGAAACAACGCTGCCATTTTGGGTGAATGTCATGCTATATGTTATATGTCCACATCACTATATGTAGACCTATATTGCTATTATTATGTTGTATACTGTTTAAATGTATCTGAGCAATAATCGATTGATAAATGTGTTGGTTTTGTTTTCAGGACTGGTAATTTAAAATATGATTTGCATCAACTGTCCGAGAAAATTTTTGGTCAAAATGTAAAGGAGAGATTCCATGTCTCAGTAGTTAGAAAAATGTTTTTGCAAACAGCCATGGAAAATCTGGAAGATTTTGAATTTGATCAACTGTTAAATGTAATATTCATAGGGGAAGATGGGGTGGATGCAGGCGGCTTAACAAGGGAGTTTTTCTCTCTTATCTTTAAACATACTCCCATTTTTGAAAATAGTGGTTTTGCCATCAATTCAACACTACTACAGAATAAAACATACAAGACTATAGGCAAAGTTGTTGCCTTTTCTATCTTAATGGGAAATCAAGGACCAAGATGCCTTCTACCACAGTTTACTAAATTCATCCTTCAGAATGCACAACCTGCAGTTGGTGAAATTTCAGATGAAATGTTAACTGGAGATGTTCTCCAAGCTCTTAAAGAGGTAGGTTGGTAATTGCAGCTCAAATGAAACAATTTTCATTTTATAGTCCATATTAAATTGTGGCCTGTGAACACGATAAGGGCTACAGTTGTTACCTGTGTAGTAAAAAATGTTTGCGAACACAAGTTATTGGCCATTGTTTGTCCAAAAGTCAGATAATTGACTTCGCGTACATTCAATCTATGGCATGTTCAACTTTTGTTTGATTTATTAAAAGTAGTTCTTACTCTCCTGTTTAAATATAAATTTATTGTCAAAGCTATCACTTGTTAATCTTTGCTATTGTAGATTGATTCTTTAGAAGCTCTAAATGTATCAGAGGTTTTTGAGAAAAATGCTGATATATTGGAATCTGCAGGATATAAAAAGATGTTGACATTAGAAAACAAAAAAGAAGCCATGTTAGCGATTCGATGCCATTATGGATTTTATCGTTTTTTGCCACCATTACTGCAGTTCATAGAAGGTAAGTCTGTGTCAATTGGGCCCGACAAATTGGCCTCGCGACAATTTGACCCGCTCAAATAGTCGGGAGCCAATTGTCGCGAGGCCAATTGACGGACCGCCAAGTTAGTCTATGAAAGTATTTGCTGACTTATCTTAATTGTTCTCTTTGTGGAGCTGTGAAATGTAATTGTGTTTTTATGGTGCTTTTTTTTTTAAACATGAACAAAAATTTAAAACAAACCCAACAAAAACATTTTGAAATTATACAGACTGAAATGGCATATATCCAATATATGCAACTTTTACCCCTCAGCATTAAATTTCAAGGCTGTGATAATAGAAATGATATAAATTAATTTGTACAGATACACATAGATCTTATATTTTTTAGGTCTCAAACTTCATGGTGTTTATAAATTATTAATGCAGTATTCAGCAGAAGCCACCGAATACTTTAGCCGGACAGATGTTAAGGCTTTGGATGTAATTAATTTGTTTCATCCTAGTTTCTCAATTAAACCAGAAGACAAGGAGTTAGAAGAGATAATTGTGTACAATTTTCATCAGTTTTTGAAGAAACTTGAACGTAAGTATAAGTTATTACTTTTAAAGAGTTTAATAACCAGAATTATATAGTCTGGGATTCTGTACAACCTTACACCATCTCTTCTCCTTAATTTCTTGTCATATTTCGGTGGATGCACAACTGTATATTATCAGATGATAGAGGAGATCTTTAGCTTTTTTTAGACTCATCATTGAGTTCCACACTTAATAACATTAGAAGGAAATAATGTATGCTTTAAGTTTTGAAAGGACTTTATGTATGAGTTCGAATTGATTTCTAAACTGAAAAAATTTATAAATCAATTCTAACTCACTTAGAACATGACCTCTACTTTCAACACTAATACCAAATGAAATGAAATAGAGTTTAACGTCCCATTTTTATGCACTGTTTAGGTTAACTAGAGACGGACATTTGCCAAGCGTGTGCAATGAGGGTAACTAACTGAGAGGAGGATGCCTATTACATTTTGTATAGTAAATGTTCGCTGAGGGCAGAACTAGAAGCCAAACAAATTCTATTGATTTCTGATAATTAAATGTGACAATCCTTGTCGACTGCCCGGACGATTTAGCTGCTGTGGGTTCCCTTTTGTGCCAATAGGTTGATTTGTTCCGCTCTTTGCAATTCCTTAAAGGTTCTTTGACACTTCTAAAAATTATTTGTATTTTGACTAAAGTGCACATAATTATATTTTATATAATAGAGAATGTTTATTATATATAAAAAAAACTTTTTCAACAGAATTTACGATGAATGTAAATTTGTTACTTTTGAGGCGAAATATAAGTGCAATGAGTCTGAATTCAATGAAAAATAATAATTTCTATAATATTCAATACATTGTAATTGCATATGTATGTACTTAATCTTTCCTTAAACTACCCCCCTGAGATGACTAAACATTGGGGTGATTTAGTCAATGATTAAGTACAAGTCAACGTTCGAGAATACCACATTTTATGGTATTCTCGAACAATGATTAACTCATTGATTAGGCTAATCAAAGTTTATAAAAATCTTAGCTTAAAATTTAATCAGCCTTTCAGAATATGGCTGGTCGAAAAGTCAGAGATTAAATCTATGATTAGCACTAATCCAATTTCGAGAATACGGGCCTAAGAGTTTTGGCGAGGATCCCCCTCCGTCAAGGGTCGAAATGTTCATGCACCTGTCGCTGAGATCCATTACCTGTGCATATCGGAAAATAGCTCAAACTAAAGTTTATGCATGTATTAGGAAATTAGTTATGAATATTTTACTGATACATTCTAAAATATAATGAATGCCGGCAGGCGGCAGCCCTTCATAGAAGACTAGTAGCTGCCTTGAAGTTAAACTGCTGTATGGCGTATGTTAACTTTCTTGATGGTCTTTTGTTTCAAATTATTTAACAAGTTTGTATATATTTTTAGGTGGAAAAATCAGTACCCAGTGGTTGGATATGGAAACAGATCTCGAAGATGATGTTCAACTGAATACTGGACATTTTCTTCTGGCAACAACTGGTAGCCCTGCCATATCTCCAAATATAGGAGATGGGCTACTACTATTTGACCATGAAAATTTAAACTGCACTACAGTAAATACATGTGCGCCATCTATTACTATTAACCAAACGAAATATATGAAAGAATACGATTTCCTAGAAAATGCTTTTATTAACATAATTGTATGTGCTTATGGTTTTGGGTTGAATTGAAAATGTATGTAGCATGAACTGGGCCTCTGTTGGTGAAATACCCAATAAAAACCTATTAATTGAAAAAAAGCAGTGTTGATTTCCTAATTCATTTCATGATAATTAGAAATGAAATTTACGGTTGCAAGAAACAAGTCCATTCCCTGATTTTCTGAATCGAATAAAGGATTTATTTGGCACATCAATTCTTCCATCTTTTGATCAGTTAAAGATATAGGAAAATGACCAATAACAACTCTTTCTGGTTCATCATCATATGCCATCAAAACAGGAGGGATGAAGTTGTTTTGTGTCGCTCTCGCATAGGTCATACTTTTTTAACACATTTTTTCATCTTAAAGCGAGAGCCTCAACCAGAATGTGAACATTGTCATGTTCCTTTGACAGTGAAGCACATTTTGATTGAGTGCAAGCATCTCAAAGATACAAGATTACGGCATTACCGTTGCCAGTCACTTCATCAGTTGTTTGCCCAACCGGGTATATACAGTAAAGCGCTAGATTTTTTAAAAGAGACAAATTTTTATCGAAAATTTTAATTGTATATATTTGATTTTCACCTTCATGTTTTAAATATATATACATAAAGTTTATATTTAGTTTTATTTGATATTTACTGTGATATTTGTTTTTATTTATGTATATATAGATAATGTGATTATTTGTTTCTAGTTTGTCTCGTAACATCATCATATGTTTGGCGCAATATAGCCCGGTTGGAGCTGACGTGCCATTAAACAACATTTCATTCATTCATTCATTCATATGCCATCAAACCATTTTGTATTGTTCCGTAACTTTGAAAGTCTGCCTATAAAAAAATATTTAAAATCTAATGAACGTCTGTTTGGGATTGAATTTATAGGTTTATTTAAGATATAAGTTTATTTCATATTGTAAACAAGAATTTTAACGAAACTTGCTGTAGTTGTTTATACCAGCATAAGGAAGAAGCCTATCGAAATTCAATGTTTTCCAGAGTTATTGACCTTGATTCACGAAACCTTGTAAACGTGATAGAGACCAGAGTTGCTGTAATTGTTTATAAAAATGGCGAAAATTAGGTCAAGTCACAAAATCATCTGATTCTGACGAAGCAAGCAATTAATTATATATTATTGAGGTCACTGATTATGAATATGCTAGTTTAAAAGTTGTATCTTATCTTTGAAAAGGTTGAAAGTTTCATTTTACTAGTTATTGTGCATGCCCATAAAAACTTCTTCTTTACACGATAGAGATCACAGTTCTCAACGAAAAGTTTTGAAACTTTCTGGGATATAATAACAGTTGTTGGGGTGTATAAGGTTGGAGACTTCTATCTTATCATTAACAGATTAAATCATTTGTTTGCTATGGAAATTAAAATATCCCAAAATCTCACCCTCCAATTTTTGAATATTTTTAGGCATAATCTTAACCACTGTCAAAAAATGAAAGATTATATTAATCTGGATTTCTTGAATAAACATATCAATGAAAATATACCTCAGAAGCAAGATTTTCATTTGGATCCAGGATTTGACCATCTATCCATAACTGTAACGGCGTTTTCTGATTAGCTGTCCTAATAGATCGCCTGATAAAGGCCTCTCTAAATTCGTTCAAGTGTTTTTGAATCCTTGGTATGAAGATATAGTGTAGGGCTTGAATATGTATTTCATCAGTTGGTATAAATATGTTTTCTGCTTCCATGTAGCAAAAAAGGTAGTAGAAAAAACTGATGCATCCCATCCACAAATCTCTCCAAAATCTCTCTATTCTTTGAAATAAAAAAAAAATTAAGTGTGATGATCTATTTCACTGTTAAAATATGAACAGGTTGTTGAAAATGACACCAGAGCAACAAATTGTCAACATTCCTTTCATGAAACCACACAAAGTCACAGAATGAATGTTTTTAGCAAAGTCTAGACAATGGTACATAATTTGATTTTTGAACAAACTACTTTACCTACATTTGATGACGACAAAGACACATTAAAACTCTGGAATCTAGATTACAAACAAAGGGCAGTAACTCTGGTGATTGTTATTGAATCGTATCAAATATTGAACATGACATTCGTTTTCTGAACGCTAATATACGATCACAAGTTTAAAATTCTAATTAGGTGATAAATGTTACATATCCATTGGTTAACGCAAAACTGCACATATCTTTAATATTAATGAAAACCCTCGAATGGCACGAAGACTGCTGATTATCGTTTATAATAGTTGAAACCTCTTAATACTGTAGTCAAGTGGAAGAAGTCTGAAACATGTTCCAAACAATAATACGGGCATTCTGTATGATGCTTCACACTGACTAACTATCAAGATTTTAAACCATTTAAACTTGGCATATTTTTATGGGATCAAGGACCATAACTTGAAAATTATTATTCAAAGGATAATGCGAACAGACAGATGTATAACATAAAATCGAACATATTAATGCAGACGTACTAAATTTACCTCTGATTATGGACACTTCTTCCAGTAATATGGCTGCCTCTTCCAAAACCTCTGGAATTTATCATATATTCTGCAACACGAACGTTCTCGCCCCCTTTATCCGATCTAACTCTCCATGGCAATCCATAATTTTGAACAGCTTCATTAAATGCTTGCATAACAGTTTCTGCTCTATTGTTGTTGCTAATCTTTAAATATGTAGGGAGGCGAGAATAACCGTCTATACCTCCATGAACAACTAAGTGCCAGCTTAAAAGATATGGAAAAAATATACAAATGATCATTACTCAGCTACCACTAATCAAACTGAACTGCGATGAGTTAATGTTAAAGATACAATATATAATATACCGGTAATTGACAAACCGCCATTCCATCGTGTTTCGAAAAATGCAACCCATATAAAATATTATACTAGTCATACAAATACAGTAAGCCTATATATCATAAACCAGTCTGACATTAATGATATTGAATAGCTGGTTTCGAATGGGTGTTAAAAATCCAAATATGGATTTTGGATTAATTATCTTGAGTAAGCGAACTCACTTAACAGGAGTCAGAAATCAACAATGATTACTACAGTACGAAGACTCTTAAATCAATTCTATAAGCTTACATTACAAAACGGTATATCACCTGTAAGCAGGTATGGAGGGGGACACACCTGGCCAAAACCAGTTGGGTCCCGACCCAAAGGGCCTTTCAAAAATTTATGCATGTTAATAGTCAGTTTTAAAGCGAAGATTGCACATTCAGCAATTGAAATGAAATGAAATGGAGATTAACGTCCCATTTTTCTGCACTAATTTATAGGCTAACTAGAGACGGGCATTTGCCAAGCGTGTGCAATGAGGGTAAATTTTGCTAAGGCAGCGGCAACACCCTATTCTCACTACCGATTTTAACTGCCGAGGTGACTTTAACATGCCCTCTCGTAGCTTAGTGAACACAGGCCTCCGTTTTTCATCCTATCCAATGGACTAGAACGCTTTTCCATGTCATTCCCCACCTGACAAGGGGGAACCCAGTCGAGAAAATCCACAAGGTCGACCCGATCTCCGCCAGAATTCGAACCTGGGACCCCCACCATGAACGGCAAGCGTCCTAGCCACTCGGCCACACCAGGCCCCCATCCAGCAATTGAATTTTCAAATATTCACGGCATACAACGCCATGCACTGCTAGTCCCTCTTTGGGCTGATAAATAAGCTTAGTCCGCCCCTGCCTGTAATTGAGTCAATACTAACCTTATCAATTTATGATAGCCGTCTATATGCCACAATGAGTTTGGCGCACGAACAGAATATCTTCTTCGTCTTACTGGATTTAAAGTAAGTCAACGATAGAGAACACCTTCTATATCAACCCTTCTCAACGATTCACGAACCCTGTATTCTTGAATTATATGTCCTTTACTGTGCAGGTGTCCTTTTATACTTCGATACCCAATATTTGGAAAGTTACTAAGAAGGTCAATTACTATTTCATCTAGCTCATCATTGGAAATATGACTATATTTTTCATTTAATGAAATACCATATTCAAGCAATCTTCGACTCCTGGTTCTGGGACTAATATTAAATAAATTGGCCATGTCATTCAATTTGAATCCATTAGAAACCAAAAATTCTAGCTGTTCAAATGGAACTAACTTTGATGGTCGTCCAGTATGTCCTGGTGACAATGAATGTCCGAGAGATCCAGTTATAACTTCATTGGCCTGCTTTCGTTCGATTAAATTTGCAGCATTTTGAATATGAAATAAACAAGTTTGTAATCCATTCATCGTTATACTGTCTTCTTCCGTGGAAGGCATGGAACACATTAAATCTGAGACAATACCTGCTACTGTATGTATATCATGTATGATGTCTGAAAGCGATTGAAAATTTTGTGTATCTAACAAATTGCAAATTCCCTCTATTCGGGACTTCACTTCATGAATAAGTTCATTGGCCATGTTGAAGAACGGAAATAATGAGAGCAGTTCCCCTTGAAAAACTCCACCCAAGAAGAGATATTTTTATTGAGACGGGAGACATCATTGCAGGACCAAACTCGGCGTTTTCCGGATTAATGATCAACGTCATCAACCCAAATATGGTCATAGTTCGCTAACGCATGGCTTGTTAATGCAAGGCTCGATAATGCAAGTGTCGTTAATACAACTGTTGAAACTGCAAATGTTGAAACTACAAATGTTGAAATTACATATCTTGAAACTGTAAAGTTAAGCTGTGTTATTTCAAAATTTGTGCTTTGTAGGTTAGACAGGTATTTTCACACATGAAAAAATGTATTTTTGTTGTATGACAAATCAACAAATGCATTTTCACAAATCGACAAATGTATTTTGCATTTTGACAAATTAACAAATGTACTTTGACAAATCGACAAATGTATTTTGTATTTTGACAAATTAACAAATGTACTTTGACAAATCGACAAATGTATTTTCACAAATTGAGAGTTTTGGCGAGGATCCCCCTCCATACCAAACAACATCATAGAAGTCCTGTTATACCTCCCTGAAAATGGCCAATTGCATTATTAAATTGAATTGTGGTCTTAAACCAAACTTTTGACAGTTAAGCACATTTTGATTGAGTGCAAGCATCTTAAGGATATTAGATCTAATCATTACCGTTGCCAGTCCTTATATCAATTATTTGCCCAACCGGGTCTATATTGTAGATTAATAGACTTTCTAAAAGAGAAAAAATTTTACACAAAATTTTAATTATATATTTGTGATTTTCATTTGTTTTATTTTAATTATATATACATAAAGTGTTGTGATAATTGTTTTTAATTGATAATCTCTGTGATATTTGTTTTTATTTATGTATGTATAGATTACTATTATGATTATTATTTATGGAAGGGTTTTTGGGTCTAAATAAGATGATCTGCTAATTTGTGTAATCCATTGTTTACAATGTTCTTATGAAGAACTGCTCTTGGAAGTTCATAGCAGAATTACCAATTTAGCCACTAAACTAGAGTGCAGACAATCACTTACAACTGATGAAAAATTCGAAATTGAATGTATATACGGAATATTAGGAGTCATAAGCGTTGAAATGGAATATCAGGACATAGGTGATTGTCTGCAGAGCGTACTGGATAGTTTGGCCCTAGCTTGGAATAATTTCGAAGCACAGGCTACGAAAGAGGACGGAACACAAAGATTTTTATCAACCTCAACAACAGTAGGTTATACAGGCCGACCTAGGATATTAATTCCAGCAGAGCAATTAGAATATCTTCTGGTTTTAAAGTGAAAGAAATTGCAGATTTATTCAAAGTAAGTCACAGTACAGTTAAAAGAAGACTGAAGGAAGAAGTACATCTAACAAATTAAGCAATCTTTCCGATGAGGATTTAGATGTTGTGGTTGAAAGTGTGCTAAAAGATCATCCAGACATTGGTTACAGGAGTATGAAAGGACATTTATCAAGTAAAGGAGAACTTGTTCAAGAGGCCAGAATTAGAGAATCCATGCAAAGAGTTGACTTAGAAGGTTGCTTGTTTCGCAGGCTTAATATGAATCCAGTTAAAAGAAGAAAATATGAAGTTAGAGCACCAAACTCCCTATGGCATATAGATGGATATCATAAATTAATCGGGTAGGCTATTTTTAATCTTTAGAAATGAAATGGGGGTTTAACATCCTACTTTTATGCACTTTTTGTATTGGCTAATGAAGACTGGCATAAGCCATGAGGGAATTTTGCGACAGTCATCGATTTTCAACTGTCTGGGTTCTTTAACGTTGCACTCAGGACCTCCGTTTTTCCTCCCACATCTAGATGCTATTCCTCGCCAAGCCCTCGGGTCTGCCGGATTGGAAAATCCTGATCTTTCCCTGACTGCAGATCGAACCCACGACCTCCTGGTTAGCGAGCAAGCACCTTACTCACTGAGCCACCGCAGATCATCATATTCTTCAGAACCCAAGGGTACTTTGAAATAGACCTAAATCCTGAGAAACTGTAATTGCAGCCCTGTTTATGTCATCTTTTTAATTACGTTACGGTATCTACTTTTAGTCTTCAGACTGGATAATTTTATCAACCAACCTTTAAGTTTTCATAACATATTAATCTAGTTATTTTAAGATGGTGGTATTGATGGGTACTCCAGGCTGCCTGTATATTTAAAAGTATCTGATAACAATAAAGCTGAAACAGTTCTAAGTAGTTTTGAAGAGGCTGTTAATTTTTATGGAATGCCAGAGCGAGTTCGGTCAGATAAGGGTGGTGAAAATGTGGGAGTTGCGAAATTTATGGTAGAACAACGAGGAGCTGGCAGAGGAAGTCACATTGCAGGAAGAAGTGTCCATAATCAAAGGTACCAGTAATAACGTTATTCAATGAATACTATTATTAACCCAGTCAGACTGATTCGCTTTTCACTCACATTTATATACATTGTCTGAAACAAAACAAATTCCTGAAAATGTCAAATAGGTTGATTGTTATGGACTTGTATTAGGGTATGTTACAAATTATTTTTCAATACATTGTATGATATATAGGCGAACAGTTCCTAATGTACATTCCTATATATATCACTTCTTTTGTATTTCAGAATAGAGCGCTTTTAGAGAGACCTCTGGACAGGGTGCATTGAGCTTTTTTACAACCTTTTCTGTTTCATGGAATGTGAAGGTCATCTTCAACCACCAAACAATGAGGCACATTTGATGGCATTGCATTATGTTTTTTTACCCAGAATACAGAGACATGTTGATAACTTTCGTAATGCTTTTATGAGAAGATCTTTAAGGACTGCTGGGCAGAAGTCTCCATTACAGTTGTGGATACATGGGCAAATCTTGGATTCAGCAGAAGAAATTGATAATGAGGTCAGACAATTGAATCATTAGTAATTGCAACATTGAAATGTAAACAACAAACCAAATATTTCTGTAAATTAGGGACTACTTTCATTGATTTCCTGTCTCCATTGCCTAGTATCTTATTGAGAAAGGGTATCCAGTTAACTTTGTACACATTGTAGACCACTCGTAATTGGGGGGGGGGGGGGTCATGTAGCTGTGGCGATAGAGAGGCATTTTCTCACCAATGGAGTAATATAGTGGTCGAGAGTTCAATCCCAGCTCAGGGCAAGAACTTAATATCGATGTAAGAGAGCCGGATCTCCCATCCGATCAGGCAGGTTTTCCCAGAGTTCTTCGGTTCCTCCTGTGATAATGATCGAATCATTCGCATAACGAATCGATTTTTTTTCCAGCATGTTCTACATTATGGAAGTAGTCAAGAAGGTTTACCACTATTAGCTACTGATGAAGTATCCAGTGTTGTCGAAAGTCCTCAAATTATTCCACGAGAAAAATTTGAACAGTTAAAAATGTTTGTGGACCCCCTCCATCACTCTGATTCACATGGGATAGACCTGTTTATTATGGCACGTGATTTCTTAGTTCGGTAGTTTTAATTAATTCAATTTGGACTAAGTAACCCTGAATAATTTAACAACTCACTGTACATATAACTTTAATTCAAATTTCAAATCAACATGCAGGTATGTAACTTTGTATAGAAAAAGGTTTGTGAAATAAGGTATATTTGGAAAGAACATGTCTACAATATTCTTATTGAAATTAATTTAATAAACAATAAGTTTTAATTATGCAATGTTTGTTCTAAATAATCTAAAATACAAACGGGAAATTATGGCCAAGCATCTCATCTTAAACAAGCGGTTGCCATGCAAGATACGCCCACTTTCAGAATATATCAGATTCGAACTCGTCCGAGATCTTGTGGATACAAACCTACACACCAAATTTAATAAAAATCGGACAAAAACTGTGGCCTTTAATGCATTCACATGCCACTTTGGACATTTTTGGTATATCAAGGGCCTTAACTCTGAAAATAGTGTCGAATCGTGTTCAGATTCGAACTACTCATCTGAGATCTTGTGGATATAAATCTACACACCAAATTTTTATAAAAATCTGACAAAAACTGTGGCCTCTATTGCTCTCACAAGTCACTTTTAACGTATTTTTTGTATATCAAGAGCAGTAACTCCGAAAATATTTGTAGAATCGTGTTCAAATTCGAACTCTTCCAAGATCTTGTGAATTTTTAAGCAAGGGCAATAACTCAAGTTATGAATATCGATGTCGAATTATCGGATTGTCACCAAAATCAATAGGGATCATCTTTATGATGACATTGACACACACAATAAATCTCAAAAGAATCCATGAAGAGTGAGCACAAGGTAAATGTGAAGAGACCGACGGACGGACAGGGGTGATTACAATATACGCCCACATTTACGTGTGGTCGTTCAGAAACAAATGCGAAATTAGAGTTTGATGCGATATCTCCGAGATAAATTATCGGATCATCACCAAATTCAATAGGGATCCTTTTCATAATGCTATTGACACACACAATAAATCTCAAAAGAATCGATGAAGAATTATAGCCTGTAGAGTGAGCATGAGGTAAACGTGGACGGACCGATAGGGCCTTTACAATATATACGCATACTATCTTGTGGGCGTATGGAAATGAATGCATTTTATGAATTTGATGCCATTATTCGGAGAAAAGTTATCGCATCGTCACCAAAATTAATAGGGATCATCTTCAAAATGATATTGACTTGAAATATATAACTAAAAAGTATTCATAAAAAATTGTAGCCTGTAGAGTGAGCACGAGCCAAATGTGAACATAAGCTTGCGGCAAGCCACTCAAGCGGATGCTCACCACCAGCTTGATAGTGAGCACAAGTCACCCATCCATTCACATTTGGCTTCAGCTCACTCTCCAAAAAACAATTTCAGTATTAAGGGAATGATCTAAGACACAAAATAAAACTCAAAGGAATCCATGAAAAAATGTAGCCTGTTGAGTAAGTACGAGCCAAATGTAAACTAAACGATGGATGCGATATCTAACTTGGATGCGATATCTCAAAGGAAAATTATCTTATGGACTCATGAACCCTTCAAACGCCATAGTCGCATTTATGCGACTGCACGCTCAAACGCCACAGTCGCATAAATGTGACAAGCAGGTACCATGTAACAAAGTCGTGTAACTCGTGTTGAATATAGTTTGCACACAAACGCGACACATGGTTGAGAAGATAACTATCAGGGCTTTCGTTACATTGAAAAAAATATAGTGGTTTCTTTTTCACGGTTTAAATAATTTTGACTTTGAAAAGCATTTCCCCGTGGCGTTTCAGGGTACGAAAATTAAAACAATCTGGCGTTTGAAGAGTTAACAAGTACCAAATCCGTACGCACACACAATAACGTTTATCAGCATTTCTGTTAAATTTTTATAATTTCTTAAAGAATTTAAGTTCGAAAAAGTGATGGATGGTGCACATGTGTTAACATGTGTGATTTCATTCGAGTTGTGGTCAAATATGATCAGACCACTGGGGAAATTTCGGGGAATGAATGGACTCCCCAACAACGCCTGTAGTATATGACCCGTGTTTAGAACAACGTCTTCTTCTTGCTCAGTTATGAGGTCAACCCACGGGGTGCATACTTTACCATCTGAAAATAAATATAAATCTTTAATAAATGATTGCTTAAATGAAAATAGCGATAGCCATTTTAATACGCCCAAGTCCGAGAAGTTGACTAGAGCAATCAGTGAATGAAACTTTCAGAGAGTAATATTCCTACGCCAAGGTCAGTGCTTTCGTTGGTTGGCCTGGAGTCAACACCCTCCCCCTTAATACCTATTGAGCACATTTGGGACAACCTAGGTCGTCGTGTGCAGGTGCTAGACACTCCTGTACAGAACTTGAGAGAATTGGAACAATAATTACATGAGGAATGGCACAGATTTCCCATGGTTCAGTTCCAACGTCTTGTTGGGGGTATGATGCGTCAAAAGAGTTGAGGCTGTCATGCGGGCATATGGAGGAAGAATGTGTTACTGACTACATTCATGTGGACACCCTATGTCATGGTTTCTCAATTAGCATTTGTGTCCTCCCCGACATTCGAAACCACTGGGGTTGCGTAACTTTTCTCTCTGTGTACAGAAAATAATTAATCAAAGGAATGCTCACTTTGAACTCTCTTCAGAAATTTTCCAAAGTTGTAAATGATAATTTCCTCCTTGGCAGTTTCCTCAGAGAAAAACGGTAAAAATAATCTTTCTATATCCTCGCAACTTTCGAACATTGTCCTGCTCAATACCCGTCTACCTTCATCAGGATATTTTTTCAACACAGTTAGGATATTGAGATGTTGAAGTCCTAAAATAAATTTTAAACCATATGATTTTGCAATACAATGGTTGAGCATATAAAATGATGGGACCAGGCAAATAGGCAAGCCAACTTTATGCTAAATAATAATGTACATAATGTTCATGTTAACGTCTAGTATCCAGTCTATGACTGCTCTCTGACAGTACAATTATTACCAGATCATAGAACACCGAATGCACCCCCACTGCGTCCATTCTCATCTCCGGGGAGAATATACCAATCCCTGCTGTCATTAATTTATGATGCATCAGATTTTTGCGCTACAAACATTGCACTGTCTTACGGTACCCATTTAAAGCTGGGAACACTGGAATAATCGGAAAAATTGCCCCATGTTGAAGCGGGGGATCGAACATTCAACCCCTGACATGGCAGTCCAACGCTTTACCGCTAGACCACAGATCAAGGGCTATTTCACTTGTCCGAATAAACAAACCAAACCTTCATCTCCTCTATTGTAAGATGTTTCCCCAGATATGAAAAAGATCATTACAGAGACAAGGAATTGTCGACATAAAAACGAAACAGTTAAAAACAATGATAGGCCCATAATATATGCATGAGATATGAGTATGAAAATTTAAAATTAATGGCAATTTACCTTACATAAACTGAAGTAAGGGAGCCATTACTCTGAAAAGCATGTAGTAGCCTTTCACAGCACTAATAGCTTCCTGCTTGTTGTCGATAGTCATAATCTTGGAAAATCCTGTCTGATTAAGTGCATCGATATGGGTTTGGTATACATCATGTATATTCTCAACAGTAGAATTTTCTATCTACAAAATATAGCCATAAACATAAGGTAATGTGCCCCATGCACCTAAATCAAAATTCACCTCTGGTTCACTGATTTATTTTCACTACTCACATCGAGGTCAATAGCAAGAGGGAAAAAAAATTCAATTACTAGACAAACAAACCTGAACCATGTATGGTTCTCACTACAAACCTGATAAATGTGTTGTATTTTAATGAATCAGGGACAAAGTTTTTAATATTGATTCATCTAAATTGAAATGGTGAAAGGGTAGGGAGGAGAAAAACTTCCTCAAAAGCACTGGCCTAGGGTTTGAAGAGAAACAAAGAGAACCGGATACCTGAAACTAGAAGAAAATCATCGTGGGCTTTACGCTCCCGATAGAAAAATATTTTAATATACATTAAAAATATTGATGGTAATATGCAAATAGTCTTAACAATGAATATCCATAAAAGAAGTAGGTTAAGTCAGAAAAGTGAAAAAAATATTTAAAAACAGAACATGCTAAAGCGAAGCGGTGGGATGGGGTGCTCTTATAAAGGTAATAAAGCGCTCATATTTTGAGGTATGTCTCTTAATTTGCTTGGGGCAAGGGAATCACTTAAATTTGTATTCCTTGAGTAGGCAACGACTAATTGTTTATGAAATATTTGGGGTTCTTCCTCTTGTAATTTAGAATAATAACGTTTAACAATTTGGGCAGCTCTACCTGCAGTACTGCTATATTTGACGACAAATGGAACAATTTGAGTGTCCGATTGGATGTTTAGTCCACTAGGCTGAACTGTGTTGAGTGGTGTTAGGGTGTAAAAATTCAGTAAATCTTTATCCATTCAAGAAAAGGTCTAAAAACTAAGGTAACGGGCATCCCCATATAATACTTCCCATTATAAATGCCAGGCACATAAAAACTAAACCCCAACAGCTTGGATTAAGCATCCAAATGGAGTTACCAATGATGCAAATCATATCTATTTTAAACAAGTCCGAGTTCCTTTCTACATGAATTTTTTTGTATTAGTTGTAAAAACTTACATCTGAAATGATAGCAGAGGCATCTGCTCTATCAATTTCGCCTGCATCCAATTCTCTAAACTGAGGTATTTTTCCACTAAGAATAAACTCTGTAGCGATTCTATTCAGTGATTTAGGGCCAGTGTGACCATTCAAAATGCTTAGACCAACAATCTTATAATGTTCTTCTTCAATCAAATCTGGTCGGAGAGACAAACTGTCGCCTTCAAAAACAGGGGATTTGGAAAATAATAAGGTGAAAAATTCTCTAGTTAAGCCTCCATGATCAACCCCATCTTCACCAATGAAATTAACCTTAAGTGGTTTTAACTAATCTGATTCACTGCCTTCAGTTAATTGATCCATTGCTGTTTCTATGAATTGTCCACGAACAACAGAAACTTGCCAATGTTTATCTTTACTTGTGTTCTCTTTGATTTTATCCATTTCTTGTTCAAAATTTTCACTTTTCCTGTAATTTAAATAAAGAGGAATTATTCATGACTATTAATAGCATGAACCATCAAGGGCAAATAACTAACCTTGCTTAATATTAATTGGTCCAACAATTGTTACTTAAGTTTTATACAGGAAACATTTCAAGATTAATATTAAGTTAACTCACTGTTGGTGTTCCTGCATTTACATAATTTGACTCCTGAAATAGACATTTATAAATTTTAATTGATACTCTAAGTAACAAGGTTTATTTTTTAATTGATACTCTAAGTAACAAGGTTTATTTTTTATGTGTTTCGGGCCCGGAGGTGGTAAAATGTAATGAAACGAGACTTACTTTTTACAGACACCGGAGGTAGTAAAATGTTATTAAACAAGACTTTATTTGTACAGTCCAGTGGGGGCCGTAGACCCTGGGAGGTACTAGCCATAAATATAATGGGTCTTCTGCCACACAAGGCACCGGGCCGACCATGACAAGTGAAAAAACGCCAAATCCTTCACACTAGAGTTGAAAATTCAGTTGTCCATCAATGAATAAATCTCCGCCTTTTAACTTGCGATATTGAGCTATGTACATAAAATGTCTGGGTTGTCTGTGTATGTATGACGATTTTAAAAAAAGCTTTCACTGGTGCTTAGGCAATTTAGTCGAAGGTATGTTATGAATTCTTTTTTAGTCACAAATTACGTAGTATTTCCGAACAAATAACTAACAGGAACAAACATTTCTACTAAGGTTTCTTAAAGTCCTTGGGGCCCCTGGCCATTGGCCACCCAGGCCCTATGGGCAGTCCGCCACTGCCCCAGAGGTAGTGAAACGTAAAATGGCAAAAATATTTGTTTTGCTTTCTATTGCGCGGGGCCTATCGAAGTGACTGGGGCTACAGCCCCACCGCCTTAATTTTAATGTGGGAATATAAAAAGGATAATGACCTAAAACTCAGTGAAGGGAGGAGGTCAGTGAGGACATGAAATGTGATGCATAAAATGAAGGCTATTTATACCTGCAATATGTTGTGTGGAGATTCAGGACTTATATCTAGGTCTGGCAACGAATCCAAATCTGTTTCATCATTTGCTGGTAGATACATATATATATATATATATATCATTAATAATTCATAGTTCTTGTTGCCTCAAAGCAATGGTCCCCAGTTAGGGAACCCAGGATCTAAGGTATGAAAATAGCTCTCCAGATCTTATGTTTTATTTGTAAAGACACTAACTTTTTTGTGACAATTAATATTATGATATCCTTATATTAACGGTTTGTTCACTCTTGGAATGAAGTCATTATAATTATTGATTAATTGTGGAATGACAACATAATAAATAAAGTTAAATCTTCCACGCTACTGCTCCTTCCAGCTTTTACTAAAGAAAATACAGATCAGCTATTCTTGACCTATATAAGAGAGTCAGAATACAGAAAAAGCAGTATTAAGTTCCATTACACATTGTCATTAGAGACTTTTTTTAAAAATAATGCAATAATCACTTACTTCTTCACTGGGCGAATTAATGTATTGGCATAATTTACTTCTTTTCCTTTTTTTAATTATTGGTAGATCGTCTTCCTATAGTTATATTGAGAAGAGTCAGTCTTAAACTTAGCTGATCACACAAAAGAAATACCAAAATATAAGTCTACTAGAAGGGATACTCGTGTTCCGCAAATATTGGCAGAATATATTTCGGAAACTACAAGTCAGTACTCAATGTTAACAACAGCTAAATTCTAGTTCCCTTCCATTAATCATAAATGATATACGACTACCATGAGAGGGACACCCGTTCTGTGCAACAAAAAGTCGGAAGTACACTGAAGCTTTACATAGGGACACTCCCGGATACATGTTGTGTCAACATGTGAAGTTTGGTGACAATCCTTCCAGTACTTTTGACATGCATAGATTACAAACAGACAGACTTTGACCTTATATATATATATATACTATTCAAAAAAAGTAGGGGATATTTGATTTTGGGGGCATAATACTAAAATATGCAAATGACTACGAAAAAAGTCACTATAGAACCTAACAGAAGAAACATTTCCAGTTACATGTGACGCCCAAACGCACCAATAGCTACCGCATGGAATGCAGGTGATGCTTGGGATCATCATGGGGGTCCAACCCAAGATTTGCACGACTCTGACTTTGAATGTTACAGTCATTGTGGCATTGAATTCCAGGGTGGAAACATCAGTTTAATTGTTTTAGTGACCAGAAAACAAATTTTGATATGCGTCGGCTTACCCAAAATGAAAGGTTACGTGCCCTTGGCATGCTACAGATCGGCACAACACAGGCGGTTGTGGCGCGGACGATGAATGTTTCTCAGTCTGTCATAAGCAGGCTATGGTCCAGATACCGTGATACACAATCTGTACAGGACAGACCACGCTCAGGTCGACAACTCAAGCCCAGGATCGATTTATCCGTACCCTGGCCTTGAGAAATCGTGTCATCACAGCAAATCAGATCAGCGCTCGTCTTCAAACAGACACTGGTGTGAGAGTGAGTGGCCAGACGATTCGGAATCGACTGCATAGGGGTCACCTTCGCGCCCGACGTTCTCGTGTGATCCCTTGTTTGAGAGATCATCACATTCAGGCAAGACGTCGTTGGTGTAGGGATCGTCAACACTGGGATAATCGACGCTGGAGCAGTGTGATGTTTTCAGATGAGTCAAGGTTCACTGTTGATTTTTTGGACAGACGTAGGAGGGTGTGGCGACGTTAACGTCTTGGAAGCGCTCGTTTCGACGTCATCAGACATGATCGATTTGGGGGTGGTTCTGTTATGGTGTGGGGAGGCATCACTGTTGCTGGAAGAACGGCTTTACATGTTGTTGCAGGGCGTGTTACAGGCCAGTACTACCGGGACAACATCTTGGCAGTCCATGTTGTGCCGTTCGCACGACGTCATGGCCGCCGTTTCATCTTCCAGGATGACAACGCAAGATGTCACAGGGCCAGGATCGTTACAGGTTACCTCCAACAACAGAACATCACCACATTACCTTGGCCAGCACTGAGTCCCGACCTCTCCCCCATCGAGCATGTCTGGGACATGCTTGGACAGAGGTTACCTCAACGTCAACAACGTCCTGCCAATGTCCAAGAACTTGCTGCTGCGTTGCAACAGGAATGGGACAATCTGGACCAAAATGACCTTAGACGTCTCATTAGGAGTATGCCACGTCGGATCAATGCTTGTTTGGCAAACAGAGGAGGATTTACCCGTTACTGACTTGGTTGTGATGCTGTGGTAACTTTGCTGTTTGACCCCGGGTATCATTTTACCCTTATAATGGTCAGTCTGTGCCTTACTTAGTCTAACGATCATTTGGAATAAATCGATGAATGTGAACTTCATTTCATTTTGTCATTTGTTTCTTCGTCAGTTTCATTAGGTGACTTTAATAACACTTAAAAATCAAATATCCCCTACTTTTTTTGAATAGTATATATATATATATATATATATATATATCAGTTTTGTATTGATGTAATTTTGCATTAATTACAAACACAGTTGACTATTATGAACAACTAATGAGTAATATTTTCATTCTGAATATTTGTTCCAACTACCTAAACCAGTACACAGAGTCTTTCAGTTATTGTCCCATCTTCTAAAACAAATTGAAATGCACTTACTCCATGATCTCTAGCAATATGGTCTTTCAGCTTAATCACTGGATATGATTCACCACATATCAAGCATACCTCCAATGGACATTTTTCAGAAGGCTGTAAAGGAGAGATAAACATTTAGGTTCTGACCAAAACAATGATATCTTATTCTAATGTGAAATAAGTTCTTCAGGCACCTAAACATTTGCAATGATACAAACCAGTCATTCATTTATAAATGAGAATATCCAATTGGTACTGTTCATTGTTTCATATGAGCGCTAGGTTTTATAGAGCTTAAATAGAAATGAAATGGTGTTTTTAAAATGTCCCATTTTTATGCACTGTAAGGCTAACTAGAGACGGGTGTTTACCACAAGGTTGACCTCGACATTGCCGGGATGAGAACTAGGGACCTCCACCATGAGTGGCAAACAGCACTCAGCCATACTGGGCCCCAATATTAAATCAATCAAACATAAAAAAAATGAGAAAAGGAAACTTCATATTTACTTCATTATCTTCAGGTGATAGATCCAACTGCTTCTGAATTGGACGGATATACACCACACTTTGACCAATAGAACACTGATCTGCCAAATATATGGCTGTATACCCGCATTTTGGTGGAGGAATGACTTCAAGACAATATCTATTCGCCGTCCTCAATAGCTCAAATCCTCCACCATTTCCTAATTTTGGATAAGCAGTTAAAACCGAATTTACAAGATGATGTGGATCGTCTGACTTGTCCAAATTTAATCTTTTCTCTCCAAGGCCACCTTTGAGGAGATTAGCCTTCTGTTTTTTAGTTGGTACAGAATCCTGTAATGAAAAATGAATTTTAAATCTCTATGACCTAAAAAAACACTCACAATTATGTATACTAGCATGAGAATCACAGATTAGATATTGTACAATGAACTGGACAAGAGGATATGTATAATATTACAATACTAATACATTACATGTACATCAAACATCAAAAATTATTATGAAAATGCTTCTATAACTCTTAAAAATATTTTTCGATTAATATTTAATTGAGCATATTAATTACCTGGCTTGGCTCTGACAGGCACATAAACTTGTGTGACCATTTGGGGGCCCACTTGGTGTTTATCTTTGATTTTCTGGAACTGAAGTTACCCGTACTGGCATATGGAGCAAATATTCGTCTGACCTCGGATACCGAATTTAAACTCGCAACTGTTGGAGCTGTTGTGGTAACTATCGATGACGATGGAACTAACGGTGGAATTATTTCAGTCCTATTCTCATTGGCCAGCTTCGACTCTAGCTCTGAGGCAGCTTTCCTAAGTGATTCCACAGTCTTACTCAAGTCTGACATTTCCAGTACTGAAATTGTAGGCTAAAATAAAGAATACAAGACACTACTAATATAAATGTCTCAAATAACAAAGTTATCAACATTACAAGAAATACTTTTATTCATTCACTCCCAAAATTGGCAAATATCTCTAACTAAGTAAAGGTAAGTGATTTGACCTTTTGTTACTACTTCGAATGTTGGTAGATAATTTTCAAAGTTGAAATTTTCTAACTTCAATATTAAAAAAAAATTGTTCTATAATAAAAACTAGTTTAAATTGTTGCAAGATTGATGGATATCCAGTCTCACGAATTACTCTTCATATCATTGAAATTGTGATATTGACATCCAGTCTTTTTGATACTGAAAATAGCTAACTTGCATAACAAATTTTTTTAAATTAGGAAATTTTAATTTTGAAAATCATCTACCAACAGTCAAAGTAATAACAAAAGGTCAAACCAGTTTTTGTACATATAATTTACTTTTAGATATATTTGCACGAATTATTTGGGGTGACAAAAGTCAAAAATAAAATCAGACAACAATGTTTTACGATACCGAAGCGGCAAAGGCCGTAACGGCGTAGTAAGGTCAAGGATACCGGTATCGAACAAGCTTCTACTTTATCGTTGTCAATACTCAATACCCCTTTCGCGTCCGACTTCACTAACGACATAACTTGTCATATCATTGCATATGTCATAGACCTGAAATTCATAACTAATGCCAGTGGTCGGGTGACGGCTTTGATTTTCTGGCTATTTGCCGCCATAAATGATAAGATAAGGTAAGCATGGCATAATGTTGATCCACGGGTTTTCGTGATTGACGGGCCATGAACTTGAAGCAAGAATTTTTTGCCTGCAAACAAGACAATTCGAGTTCTAGTGCAGAACATTATACTCACCTCTAGAGCGGAGCTTTATTGCTGTTTTTGTTGAAAATGTATGAAGAATAGTCACTGGTCACGTAGAAGTAGAAGAAGAAGATGAGCGGTTCCCACTATCAATAAACGCGCGGTTATTCAGAGTTATCTTTCCTTGTGAGGTATTAGTGTGTGTGAAAACATTTTTCTGGAAGCCACGCCTTTTGACCTCATTTGCATATTGCTAAGAGAAATGTTTAAAATGATATGTAGAAAATGATATGTTTAAAATGATAATACCAAAATGATATGTAAAAGTGTGATTTGAAGAGTTGGAGTGAGGAAATGACAAAAAAACATTTGTTTTATCACAATTTACTTAAGCAATATGACCAAGTTGACGGTATCATAATAAGTATTAGACAATTCAGCAGATCATCTTATTTAGACCCAAAAACCCTTCCATACCAATGGGATTCTCTTCTCCCAGCGCGAAATTTCTTTTGAAAAAAACTGACTGTAAATGATGTTTCTATGGTATGTCGTGGTGTTTTCAGCTTATGCACAAAATTCTATGTCTGACAATCATGTCGGAAATGAATTTTTGAACCCCATTTTGAATTCAGTAACTCTGAAAACTTGATTTTTCTAAAATAGCCATATTAGAATCTAGTTTCATTGTCGGTTTACATTTACCCCATCAGGACTATTCATAATTAGTTGGGGGGGGGGGGGGAGGAAGTGGATGGCTGAATGGTTAGCGTGCGCGCGTTGTATCATAAAGTCTGTCATTGAGTCGACTGGCGTGGTTTCGAATCCCCGGTTGTACGTGACAAGGAGTTGGGTCGCCTGTCCAACCTCGTGGGTTTTCTCCGGGTCCTCCGGTTTCCCCCCACTGCTAAAGACCCCTACGCGCAAGCGAATTATTGAAATAAAATTAAACCATATGTTAATCCCGAAATGACCTAGTTTGTGTCGAGTGGACGTTAAACCCCATTTCTCTTTCTCTCTCTCTCTCATAATTAGTTTTTGGATAGAAATTCAACAGCGCAACGCGCAACCCTTATATAAGACACATCTAACGGAAGTTATGATTCTGTCGTTTGGGATTTCATTGTGGTGGCTATTTGCAGTTCAGCCATCATGGATTTTTTTTCGAATTTTATTTGAGGTCAGAATTGAACCAAAAAAATGACATGTTACAAGTCATATCCAACAGGACAAAATGACGATTAACTTAAAATCCGCCACTTTGGATGCCATTTTGAATTGTTTCTGGATTTTCAAAATTTATCTTGAAATTCAGAGACACCAAAACCCTTATAAAATGTCATTTTATTACTAAATTTGATAGCCATTTTGAAAGACATAGCTGGCTGGAAACCATGTAAAGCCATATTTCTTTACCATCTGTGTTTAAAGAATTGAAAAAATAAGTCATTCTCCCACCATTAAAACACAGTGATTACGAGATAATGCTCTACGAGATTGTTCGAGACCGCCATTTTGAATAATGTTAATTACGTCATTTCGACATGGCCGATTTTGAGTATGTCTGACATACGTATCATTGAACCAAACTGTTTTGGTATCTTTTGCTATTTGTTTGGGGTAAAACGTTATCCCTCCCCGTCTACTCCCCCACGATTAGCTTTTCATCTTAATCTTACATAACGTATCTTTAAAGTTTTTGAGGTTTTAATTTATGGTGTCAATTGGTAAATATTCCTTTTTTGTTTTTTGTAGTGGACACGCTGGCTGACCCCGGAGCCATTCCCTTAATTCACTATATACCGATGTTGTGTGTCTTATCCACGGGTTTGTCTCTTGCATATATTTGGAGGGTTGGGTGGTTACGCGTGCGCGTGAAATCACAGGGGACTGTCGTTGAGTCAAGTGTGGCTTCGAATCCCCACTTGAATATGACAAGGAGTAAAGACCCCTACGCACAAGCGAATTATTGAAATATAATTAACCCATATGTTAGTCCCGAAATGATTTAATTTTCTCTCTTGTGTGCGTTTCTGCTGCACTATAAGAACATTATTTACACAAGTAAATGCAGTGATGGGGAAAGTAATATTACTATTAGTTTCAAACGCAATGAAATGGAAATTGAAATACGATAAGACCGGCAAGGTCAGTAACCAGATAATTGATATACATATTGTAATGATTGACAGTGCGGTAAACTAGAATTCCGATGCAGTGATGGCGATTTTCATCTGTGATCTCACCTGATGCCACTCTCCATACCAATGGACCCATTTAACAGATTCAATAAAAGTATGGAAAAGAAATTGACTCCAAAGAAGCATTGATGATCAAGGCCTATTAAAGTGTGAAAACCTTAAAATACATTCTTTTGAAAACAAAATGTTTTGAAGGTTAAAATTTAACCGGTTTTTTTCCAAACTCTGTTTATTCAGGCAAAAAGAGTTATTGAGTGATTAGATTTACTGACAACATATGCACTGCATGAGGCAACACATTTATTTATTTAAATCGAAAAATAAATAACTGATATGGGCAAAGCAAGGTAAAAATTCCTTTTCTCGAAAATGACTCGTTTATATAGAAACTATTTTGTTTTTAAATCCACATGTTCGTATTGATATGAACTAAAAACATTGAACGAAACAGTCCATAATAAACCCTAATTTTTGGCACCTCCGAAACCCACGAACATTTATAATGGACATTCACCATAGGCATTAATTTCATGAAAGTCGAACAATAACGTGAAACGTGGCACATCCCAAATTTACTATTTCCCGCGGGGAGTTGGATGGCCGAATGGTTAGCGCCTGCTTGTTGAATCATGGTGTCGATTCCCCGGTTGTACGTGACAAGGAGTAGGGTCGCCCTGTCCAACCTCATGGGTTTTCTCCGGGTCCCCGGGTTTCCTCCAAGTTTGCTAAGGACCCCTACGCGCAAGCGAATTATTGAAATACAATTGAACCGTATGAGTCGTCGTTAAAACCCATCTCTCTCTCTCTCTATCTCTCTCTCTCTCTCTATCTCTCCCTCTCTCTGATCAGTACGTATGTACTCGCTAAAGCAGTATGAAACCCTAATAATTCCGAACAAAGACAACCATGTCTTCACTTTAGAGTCCGTAAAAAAACGTAATGAACCAGCGGACTGATAAGCAGCATCACAGTTATATGCTTTACACACATCGGTATAGCGTAGAATCACCTCAACTTCTGAGAGATAAAGCTTCGTTTACTTCATGGTAAAAGTTGATCTTGGCGGTTTCAGTGATATCCACGTCTTGTTTATTCTAATACACACGGAATCAACAGGTAAATATATGTTTGTTGTTTGAATATCTGTTTACTGTTTACCGGTGGGTGGTGGAGGTGTGCGCTTTAGATCATAAGGTCTGTCATTGAATCAGATAGCGAGGTCTCGATTTCCTGCTTGGATGTTACAAGGAGTATGGTCGCCTGTCTAACCCGATTTGTTATCTTTGTTAGACTTTTTAAGAGACAGGTTTTTATTTTAAATTTTATTTGTATATATCATTTTCATATATCTATTTTGATATTTGAATGCTTAAAAGTTCCTTTTTACTTTTAAACTTAAGAACTGTGGTAATTTCTTTTTATATTTAAGTATTGTTTGTAATATCTTATGGTCAACCTTGCATATTTTTACCACATATTTGGCGCAATATATCCTGGTTGGTGCTGACGTGCCATTAAACATTTCATTTGATTTCGCTTGGTTTATAGTTTATTAACTTTTTGATAGTGCTTCCTATATTTAACGATACAAGTATATTAAATTATATCTGCGCCTAGCACTCTAGTTGAGGTAATAGTTGAATGAAAAATAGACAGAGATGCCGATCTTCATTGGGGAGGGGGGGGGCTGAATAGTTAACGCGTGCGAGTTGTACCAGAAGGTCTGTCATTGAGTCAGTTTTCGTGGTTTCGATTCCCAGCTTATACGTCACAAAGAGGAGGGTCGTCTTCCAACGTCGTGGATTTTCTCCGGGCCTCGCACTGCTAAAGACACCTACGCACAAGCGAATTATTGGAATAAAATTGAAATAAAATTGAAGCATGTTAGTCCCGAAATGATCTAGTTTGTGTCGTGTGGACGTTAAAAAAAATTTCTCTCTAATCCAGTATCTGCCGTAGCATTGTGTTTGCTTTACTTTATACATCTTTTAGTACGCAAGGAGGGTTTAAAGTAATTATCACGCTCACGGTAAGAGTCAATGCGCATTATTCCAACTGACCCATTGTCTTAAACATATCTCAATACGCCCACCCCAAGGATTCCCTGATAGCATACTTTATTAGGCCGTTTAAAGTTAAATTTACTCTTATTTTAATTCATTTACAGGACCCTGGAATGAATTGGCTAATTTTGTTAGTGTCCTTAATTGGTCTTTGTCGATTTACTGAGTGTCAAACGATGTATGTAGATAAAGTTTTGCTAGTCTCCATGGATGGATTTCGATGGGATTACCTGGAGAAAATAGATACACCCAATTTTGATTCTTTTGCTGCTCAAGGAGTGAAAGTTCGTTATGTGAACAGTACATTCGTACCTGAAACATTTCCATGTCATTACAGCATTGCAACAGGTAAGTTTGTGAAACGGCCTTCAGCGTACTATTCTTCTGCTACGATTGGGCTAATCAATGCCATACAATGTGCTAAGGAGGGGGGGGGGGGGCATTTTGCCCAGACAGTGGCAACACGGCCTTCTCTTATACTGATTGGGGCCTTGGTCTTTAGTCCCATCCGACCGACTGTAAGGCAGGCCCGTCGATGAACTTTCTCGGCCTACACATGGATTGGATTCGGGACCTCTCAAGGTTTGCGAGCCAACATCTTTCTCACTGAGCCAATGTGGCTCCCGGTAAGTCTGAAGGAAGAACGTATGTCATAAACAGCTTAGCAACTGGTACATTTGGGAAACTGTATGTATTAGGGGACTGGTCTGTTTATGAATAGAATGAAAAGGGTGGGGTTTAATGTCCACAGTTAGGTTCTCATTTGCCCAGATTGACAGATAATTGTTTCAAAGGTTTGACAAACAGGTGGGTGTCGTACACGTGGCTAGGTGTAAGCTTTGGAAAACAACATATACCACCTGTCATTTGGGCGGTTCGCCGTAGCAAATTATTTGTATTTTTCTTCCCTTTACATGGAATCATTTAATTTGCCAGGTCTGTACGAGGAAAGCCATGGTATCGTAGGTAACTACGTGTATGATCCAGTATTTAATGAGTCGTTCGGACATACCACTTACGATTCAAAATGGTGGGAAGCTGGAGAACCCATCTGGATAACCGCGACGAAAAACAATACGAAGTCAGCAACGCATTTTTGGCCTGGAAGTGAAGTCGAGATTAAAGGCCTGAGACCGACAATCTGGTTACCACATTATATTATATACTGTTTTGTAGGTGTATTAAAGTAGCCAAGTCTTTATCATCCACAATCTTCGACATTGAAAGCACGAATTATTTGTCAATTTAAATCATCATGAATGTAGTGATCTAATCGCCAAAAGATTGGCTTCTGATTGTCATTAGATCGAAACTTCTCGCGTATGTCGCCGAACATTACTGATTTGAAGTTATAGTAAAAATGGAAACGATTAAATGTAAATCAGTTCATATACATTCATATTAGATTTTATATGCGTTGCGATTTAGCCCCTTTAAAGGTATTATTCGATACAGTAAAAATAAACCCAGTCAAAAAGTATATCGGCGTATTAAAGGCACTAATCGACACAGTCAAAAATAGTATTCTATACTCTGTGTATAAAAGCCAAATGAGCGAAGTATCCGGTAAAATGAAATCTTTGAATTAAAAGTAAAGTTTGTACTGATTTTGTATTTTATTTTGTTTGTTACATTTAGGTCGTCGATTGGTTTGCTAATAAAGGGGTCAAATTCGCGACACTATTTTTCCACGAACCCGATCTTACAGGCCATAATTATGGCCCAGATTCTCAAGAATTGAAAGATAAAGTGAAGTACATGGATCAACTCCTGGGATATATGATACAGAAGTTACGTAACAATAATTTATGGGATTCCCTTAACGTCATCGTTACAAGTGATCATGGAATGACGTCAGTGGATGTCGATAACAAGGTAGGCAAATTCCATCAAGTAATAAGGATTTAGACCACTAATTATTTCACATGATTTTATCATACGTAAATGTAGTTGGTCTATTTATAGTAATTCTTTCTTTTCCCCCTTTTATTGTTAGCTACCCACATTGACAATATTTAAATAACATGAACCCTTGTCAGTTGGAGTTTGATATAAAAAATAAGCTGTGTATAGCGTCACATTGACACAGAATTTTTTTATTCAATTTTTCGCAGACCAGATATTTGGTTTGTGTGATTATTTATTTATAATTAATCTATTTTACAAGTTGGTTAATATCAATGACTACGTACCTGACAACACAGTGAAAATGGTTCCTAGAGATGGCGCTGTGATCCAGATCATACCGGAAGATGGACAGGAAGACGTGGTTTTCCAGGCCATCAAAGATAAGGAGGGTGAGATGCACGTGACAGTTTATAAGAAGAAGGATATACCGGAACACTACCACTATAAAAACAACCGCCGTGTGACACCAATTGTTGCTATTGCTGAAGAGGGTTGGTTAATCGTCGATGTAAGTATACAGTTTGTAGCAATATCTATATATTTGTGACTGACATTTGTTTGTTTGTCTGTTCCGGGTTGGCGGCTACACTAGCGCTGTCCCGAGGCTGAAATTTGATGTATAAGGGTAGCTTGGACCGAGGAGTAATATAGACCTGGTAGAACTGTACTACTGTTTTGGAGTTATATTACCTTCAGTTCCCTGTACAACTCGTGCAGCGCTGGTCATCCGCTAGTTAAATTATATAGACGACGACTTTGCTGGGGGCAGGAAAGGAGTTGGTGGTGAGATAAAGTGGGTGGGTATGGTTTAACCTTCGCTTGACATTAGTCAAGATATTTCAGGACTCCAATTGGTCGCTTCCTCACTCTCCCTCTAACATTTAACCATATGTTAGTCCCGAAATGACCTAATTTGTGTCGAGTGACGTTAAACCTCCTAACATTACCTATTTATTGATTCATTGTATAATTTCAGAAAACACAGAAGTACTCTAAACCACGCCCATTTGGTGGCCATGCTTACGACAATCGATTGATGTCGATGAAGCCACTCTTTCTGGCACATGGACCCAACTTTAAAGCGAACTACAATCAAGAGTCTATTGAGAATGTTGACATATACCCTTTAATTTGTAAGTTGTTAGGCGTGAATGCTGCTCCTAACAATGGTAGTCTTAGCAACACTGAAGATATGCTAGAAGTTAATGAATAAAGAGTAGAATCTATGGGACCTGTTTCATGAAAATCTAACTGAGATAAAATCCAAATTTAAGTAATTTGATTGGATAACATTAGATTGTTTTTAGTGCTTAGCCAATCAAAATTTAAGTATCTACTAAAATTTGGATTTTATCTTTAGTTAAGATTTCGAGTAACAGGGCCCTGGGGCCTGTTTCGCAAAATTTTAACTAAGATAAAATCCAAATTTATGTAATTTGATTGGATAATATTATATTGTTTTTAGTGCTTAGCCAATCAAAATTTAAGTATCTACTAAAATTTGGATTTTATCTTTAGTTAAGATTACGAGAAACAGGGCCCTGGTACTTATCACATTTATGTACACAGGACGCTGTTTAGCATTGATCTGTATCACATAAAGTGCATTTTATTAATTATGTGATAATATTATGCTCAAATAAATACAGTCTTGCTTGTTGTTGTTCTTAGTGTTTAACGCCCGCTTCCACTCGCACGCGCAGGGGTCTTCCTGTGGGAGGTACCCGGATTAAACCCACGAGGGATCAAAACCACAGTCGCGAGCCAGGGGTGACCGGCCAGCTAGAGGTCGAAGCGCGACTCTCTAGAGCACTAGCCCCCCTTACTGCCTTACTTACGAATTTCTTATAGCAACGTGAAATGCGTTACTAAAACAATGTAACAAAATTCAGTCTGCACATACTGGAATAGCAATATCAAATCAAACAGAAGAACTTGGTCATTTCAGGTCATTGCTGGAGTAACACAAGTTTCAATATTATTCCAATAATTCGCTTGCGCGTACGGGTCTTTAGCAGTAGGAGAACCCATAGCAAATACATTAGGATGGACAGGCGACACTACTCCTTGTTACATGTGGAACCGACGGCGTCACTTGATCAAATGACACATGATATGATCAAAAATACACGTGTTAACACCCCCCCCCCCCCGCCGCACTCCACTAGATATTCAAAATTATGTATTTATATTCATTTGTCTTGTAGGGTCATATCCCGTCCAATGACCAATTTCCGCATGACCAGTTAGGTTGCTAAGTTTGGGGGAGGGAGGGAACACTTTTCCGTGGCGCAGGAGATTGGTGAGGGGATAGTAACATGGGTAGGTTCTCGACCGAGTGGCACAACTACTAGGTGTTGTGAGGCGGGTGGGAAAGTATGTGGGGAGGGAGTTCTCCTCGCTGCCGTTAAGAAAAAATTTGAAAGATGGTAAATCTTTTATGTTGTACAGAAGTCACTGGTACACTTGTAAAAATTAAATAAGATTTCTGTTTCTGAACTGACTTCGATTTTCTGGCGTGGTTCCCCCATTATCAGTGGTACAGGGCGGCGGCCTGGCAAGGGCAGACGTCTGGTATTTCGGATTGGATTAAAAATGAGGTCCCATGTATCGAAATTCGATATGAGTAGGCCGTAGTGCCGTTGCCCGGGCAAAATTCCCTGCATAGCACACTGTATGGGTTATACCCGTCTTCATTAGCCAGGTCAGAGCAGAACAGTACGACGGTAAAACCCATTTCATTTCATTTCATATCGCCATATTACTACAAAACATTAAATGGTGATTTGATCTAAATAATATCACAGTAATACATTAGCACAAATAGCACAGTTATTATGATGGAATATTTGAAATACGTAAAAAGCTAAATATATTATACTGTGCTAGATCATCCTCTTTAATATCAACACAGGGGGTTGGATGGAGAATGGTTAGCTCGTGTGCGTTGTATCATAAGGTCAGTCATTGAGTCAACTGGCGTGTTTTCGATTTCCTTGTTGTAACAAGGAGTAGGGTCGCATGTCCAACCTCGTGGTTTTTCTGCGGGTATTCCGGTTTCCTCCCACTGCTAAAAAACCCTACGCACAGGCGAATTAATGAAATAAAATTGGACCATGTGTTCGTTCCGAAATGGCATAGTTTGTGTCAAGTGGACGTTAGCCCCCCCCCCCTCTCTCTCTCATACAAGGGAGGTAACTGCAAAATAAAATACAGGATGAGACCACTACTATTAAATGGTTTTCTGAATGTCATAGCCCATTCACTAATTGTATTTGAAAACATCATTGCACTACAATTACTAATACACGTTTCCAGTAATGATGATTGGGTAACTTTGTGAAGTTTTGGAATCCCATTTTAAAGCCCCTCATATTCACAGATTTAAGACAATTAACAAGAATTAGCCCTCAAGCTTACGTATACATTGGCGTAGAGTAGGCCATAGTGCCGCTGCCTGGGCGAAATTTCCCTCATAGCACACTGTATGGCATATGCCCATCTTCATTAGCCCAGTCGGAGCAGAACAGTAGGACGTTAAACCCCATTTCATTTCATTTTATATATATGGCCACAGATCACCAATGATTTTCCCATTGACTTTCATGTTAATTCTCGTCTCTCTGACCGGGTCTAACTTTTTCCAAAATTTTCGTTGGGTAAAATGCTTTCTATCACAGATAGAATATTGTCATGCAAAAAGGGAAAGGGAGGGAGAGAACAGTAGCGTTGGCTCTTGGTGGCGGCGTAGGAATAATTGGTGAGCTGGGTCCATATCAAATTAACACTCCGTTAAGCAGAGTTAGGGAAGTGTTTGAAAATGAGAATAATATAATGTTTTTACCAAGAACTGGTGGCTAATCGCTACTCGTAATGTTTTGTTCTTCTTCTTGGACTGACGCTCTTTGCAAGAGCCCCTGAATCCGCCAATTCAAGTCCGTTCGACATGAACATTGGCATGCTTTCCTTTGGACAATTCTGCATGGCTTTGATGAATTAGATTTTGGAATTTCATCCATCAACATTGTCAGTTCCTGGTCCATAGTCAATCTGATTATAACACAGATCCTATTTTGTTTCGTTTTTTTTAGTTCAAAATTTCCTTTTACTTGTCTTCACAACGCTAGGATTAGGACGTATTGTTATATAAGCCGCGTTCTGGTTAATGTGAGGGATTAGCCAATGAAACGGCCAGTTCATCATTTTCACGGTAAGATAACAACATCAACATTTCACCAAACTCAAAAAAGACCCCCAAAAACAGCGTTTCCCGAACAAGAAAAGAAACACGGAACAAAAGTAGATCTAGAGCGTGTGAACAGAAATTGCAAAACTTAAAACATTTTCTTGAAGCTCATACAGTAAATATATTGGGGAGGACGGAGGGCCTGACAAGGACAGCTGTCTAGTCGTTCGGATGGGACGAACAACCGAGGTCCCGTGCACACATTGGCGTGCACGTAAAAGATCCCTTGGCAGTTGGAATTTCGATATAAGAGTAGGCCGTAGCGCCGCTGCCCGGACAAAATTTCCCTCATAGCACACTGTATAGCGTATGCCCGTCTTCATTAGTCCAGGTTAGGAGCAGAACAGTAGGACGTTAAACCCATTTCATTTCATTTCATTTCAGCTAACTGGTTCGGGTTAAGGGTGTCATCGCTGTAATGTCGATGGCGGAATTGTACATTCATGAAACAATATCCAAGACATCATCTATCAGTACAGTGCAAAATCTGGATGTCTCACATCTTAATGTGATGTATTCCGTATAATAATTGGTTTCTAAACACCATCTCCGCGTCCCAGCCCTGTAAATTGAATTATGTACGTGTATCAATCACTCATCACCAGTTTGGAGTTAAGTTCCGCTCACATTTTTATATTCAAAGGTAGTGAAAACGAAAAAGTTTGATTTTTTAGAAAAAATTGTGGTATGTGTGTTGACATTGAATAAAGAGTTAGAGACATGAAATGAAATGGGGTTTAATGCCCAACTTTTCTGTATCAACTTTTTGCGACAGGTCTAACAACGCCCGACTATGTTTTCCTGTGATATCATTTTTTCGTTCTCGGGGTTGGATGGTCGTGTGGTTTCGATTCAAGCGACGTGGTTTCGATTCCCCAGGAGTAGGGTTGCTTGTACAACCTCGTTGGTTTTCGCCTAGTCCACCCCCACCCCCATTGCTAAATAACGCTCTAGAGCAGGATTTCCTTATTAAACTCCCTCCCTCTCTCTCTCTCTCTCTCTCTCCCTCTCTCTCACACTCATAAAGGATTATATAATTTATGATGTTTAATTTAGGTAATATTAGATAAAGAGCTGACAGTTCTCGCTATAATAGATACTGTAAAGGGAATATGCTGAAAATTTCAGTCTACTTACTTCACTCTGAGTAGAGAGATCCTCGTGTTAATAACACTAGAGCCTCGATTGTCATTGTTAACGTTGTTATGATAGTCTCGATTATCCAGTTTTACGGTTATCATCAACGGCCGTTGAACCGCAGATGTGATTCAAATCTGTTGAAAATCGGGCCCATCAGATGGCATCGGGAGTTGATTATGTTCTTGGCATGTTAATAAATTAATGTCTAATTAATAGTTTATATAACATTTCAGGTCCAAAGAAAGACCTGTGATAGACAAATTTAGCTCTTGTATATTGTATGTTTAACTGTGATGATTTTCTATAGTATTATTTTTGCTAGTAATTTAAAAAGGTAATGGATAAATTTAATTGAACCGTGATTATTTTCTATAGTATTATTATATTTCTTTTATTGGGTAATTTCAAAGTATTTATTAACTTTAATTTAACTCTGAACATTTTCTTGCTTTATTCTTTAATTAAATCACAAATGAATGTTATTATTTGATGTCCACAGATATAACAACAGGAGGCAATTTTCAAACACATAATTCTCAATAGTTAAATATATCAGATTCGTCGGTTCGTCAGAAGAGCGACGAAAACAGTTAATTTCGGATTTTACTATGGTACAATTTTATTTGAATAATTCGCCTGTGTAAATGTCTTGAGCCATGAGGGGATTCATTCGGAGGATCCGTATGAAATCCAAGAGGCTGGGGGTGGGGGGTACCATTTCTCCTGCCACGTACAAGTGTAGGATCGGACTAACGTATTATGTTTTGTTTGTACCATCCGGGCTAATGACGACAGGTGCCGGTCAGCAATTGAATTACAGTTAGCTTTGTATCGAGTGGACGTTAAACTCCTTCCACTTATCTCTCTCATTTTTAATCGTGTGACAGGTCAGTGTTTACAGGGACGATATTTGATGACAGCTAAAAAAAAGATTTGTCAACGTCATGTGCAAACAAAAAAAAAAAAAAAAAAAATCGAATTTCATTGGGGTCATGTACGGTGACCACGTTAAAAATAACCCAGTGTACATTGTATTATCCTTAAGACGTAGATTATTCATTGTTCAATCAT